ATAGCGTTGAGAGCTCTTAACTATGCAAACCAGATCATTCTAATAAACTAGAAATGAACTGTAGAGTTGCAAGAGGCTGAAGAAACAAAGAAGTGACCGCTACGTGTCACTGAAGCATGCGTCTTCACAGCAGGAAAGACAGGTCCAATGCTAACAGCTCTGACCCGGCATGACAGTATTCTCGAACTAGGAGAGAATGGCAACGTTTGTCAAGTCCTGCAAGGACAACCATGATTTTACAACCAGGTGAATTAAATCAACTTCGTCACATGGAGCAAAGGCAATATAGGCCTGTATGCATTCTTTCTTTCCTTCTTTTTGGGATAGATCAAATTTTCCATATCTGTTTGTTTTTTTTTCCCATGATGGGAAACCCACCTTTTCTAAAGCATGCTTAGTGCGAAATCTAAACACAGTAATTGTAGATCTATCATTGCTACATATTATTTATTTGTAGCAATGGTAGATCTGAATCCTGTTGTCAGAATGTAAGTTTATTTCACCTGATTATGTATGTGGTTTGAGGCAATGAAAAACCAAAATCCACACAGGCAGAAAAACAAACCATCTTCTGAAGTTTATTTACAGATATAAGTTTGGAGCATTGCTAAGCATCAGTTTTGTGAGTTTACATCTGAAAATGGTAACTATGTTTTATGGGTCTTCTTTTCTCATAAATCAGAAAATCAGTTTTGGCACTTTCTTATTTTGCTGCTTGTTTGCAGGTGTGCGGTTTCTGGGGAAATTATAAAAGTGAAACTACTGCCAGGTGCAATAAAAGCTCAAAGGCAAAATTTTACCTTGGAATCCCTGAAGAGGTTTATTGTGTTCTACTAATAATAGTGTATGTAAAGGGGATACCCAGTGTCATAATAAACTATAAGAATTGTTAAAACTCAATACCCATTTTAATAATCGCACTTATATGACATAAATACAAAATTACCTCAGTGGATAGAAGAATGGAAATTAAGAGGAAAGTCAAAAGGAGAAATCACGCTTTTCCAATTGCATCTTCCCTTCATAATAATAATATTAAAATAATTCATTTTACTCTTAAAGTCCTGAATAATCAATAAGTCAGTTGTTCTCTACAAAGCACTATGCTTTATGACTGCAGGTTTTCTGGTGCTCCCAAGGGCCAGATGTTTAGTTGTAAGACTAACCTGGGATGAAGTCTATAGTTAGTGTGGCTTTTCCTGTCTTTACTATTTTATCCTACTACTCTCCATGCATATATTATTAGCAATTCCTGCTCAAATTAAGGTTATACTCTTTGTTTTGTATTTGCATTAAAAGCAGGCTTACTGTTCATCTTTTCTGTATGAATCCATTGGCAAACCTGTACTGCCTTTCCCTTTGTGGCCCATTGAATTTCCTCCTGTCCCAGTAGTTCTGTGTTTTCTTTCCATCTCGACAAAAAAAAAAAAAAAATATCAATGTCCCTTACTTCTTCCCAGAGTTTGGGAGCCAAACTTTCCGGTGCTCGTCACAACAGTGTCCACTCACACACTGTTGCACTCACCACCCATCCTGAACCAGATTCTGTTCAAGAGTTCTTCCTGTTAAAAGAGAGGTTCCTCTCAAACAACAGCCAATTTAGAGGCAGGTCTCAACTTGGAGGCCAGTCCTGACTCAGAGGGACTCGGAGAACTTTCCCGACTCGGAGGCAGGTCTCGACTCTGAGGCCGGTCCCGACTCGGAATACAATTCCGAGTTGGGACAGTCCCAACTCAGAGGGACTTGGAAGCTGTCCCGACCTGGAGGCTGGTCCTGACTCAGGGGGACTCAGAGGCCAGTCCCGACTCAGAGGGAGTTGGAGGCTGTTCCAACTCGGAGGCCAGTCCCGACTCAAAGGGACTTTGAGGCAGTTCCGAGTCAGAGGCCGTTCTCGACTCAGAGACAATGTTTGGTACACTCTTAGATGATTTCTGAGCCAGAACGTTTGAATCATATCCACAACAGACAGCATGTTGAAAGCTCTTTCATGCCTTTCGAAGATAGTCTTTCAGAAGATTAATTTTTCTGTGACATGACAGAGTTCTTCTGAAACACTGTGTAAGCTTGTACGTAACTATTGGGTTGATCTCTTGTTATCATTTTAAACAGCAATTCTCTAACTAAGTCCTCATTCTCACAGAGAAGTTGAAAGATGTCTCGGGAGTTTTCTTTCCATCTCGACAAAAAAAAAAAAAAAAAAAAATCAATGTCCTTTACTTCTTCCCAGAGTTTAGGAGCCAAACGTTCCGGTGTTCATCAAAAAAATTGTCCTTCACAAAATGCACAGTTGGTCCATCAGTGGCTTACTCTGTCACTTTCCACATAAGTTCAATAAGAAGATTTATCTTTTGCTAATTTGTCCTGGATGTACTTTGTTGTAGCAAATCTTTTTAAATTTCCTCCAAAAAGAGACCTTAGGTTTTACGTAAACTTCACTCTGTGATCTTTCCTTTGTCATCTTTACTGTGTTGAGCTAAAACATCCAAATGAATCTTGTGTTAACTAACTGGAGAATTAACTGATCAGTGATATTATGGACTCTATAACATCACAAAGTCATCCTCAGAAGGGCTTCCTGACACAGACATGATTTGAAGTCATGCTGATGACATTGTCAGCAGCATGGCAACTGTTATTAAGGGTAATAATAGCACACAGTGAGCATGAGCTCTGGAAAAAAGAGAATTTGTGGACACTAAATACATTATTCCCACAAGTCTGAACTGGAAGTGACCTGCGTAGCTTTGCTGGAACAGGGGGGACCAGGGAACCATTCCACTTTACCTCCTTACCAATTTTTTTGTATTGAGTTCCACTTTTCTGCTTGCTCCGTAAATTTTGCTGCACTTCTTCTCCCGCATACTTTGCGCTATTTTCACCATTCAACTTTTATATTATTCAGCTTGCTCTCCTAATGACGGCTATATCTCTTGGTATTCGTGACCTTCATACTTTTTATAATATTCAGCTTTTTATGACTTTTTCTCCCCATGGGGGAAACAGCTCTACCTTGTGGCAGAATTGAGAATTACAATATAAAATGTCCGTTGTCTCTCTCACAGATGTTTTAGGTCCAGAGTTTACCCAAATTCAGCAAAAGGTGACATTTGAATAATTAAATAGCTCAAATTAAGGCTATTATTCAACGACAATGTGATAAACAGAACAAAAACCCAAATGAAAGGCACAGAATATGCTAACTGATGTCAATGCGAGACGTTTGGGACAGCATGGTGACTCTCAGTCCAGATACATGGGGCATTAGATAGTGTAACAGGGCATATTTTCCATGTTTTGACCTCAATAATATGAACTTAATAAAGTATGAATATGTTATAGTTTGGGCTTTACCTTCAGCTGAACGGAGAACAAGATGAACTTCCAGTAAACCAAATGCCAGAAAGAGCTAACGAGGCAGAAAACTGAAGTTCAGTCTTTACTCACTAGAACTATTTCCATCTTAAAACAGTAACTCTATTTACAAAAAGGGTTCGTTTAAAGTTCGTATATAACACTATAACCGTCTCAACAGACTCTCACGCTGCACAGCTCAGCTGTCTCATCATATCGGGTCTCTCCTGCGCGCATCAACAATGCTGCAGACACCGGAAAGAAGGGAGGGACCTACAGCGGTAGTCGGCATTCTGATTGGTTGATATGCACTAGAAACTAAACTTCCTATTGGCCAGGTAGATCACCTAGCTTCCTTAACCGCTGTTTCTTAAAGGGGCATCCCCACTTTATGTGGGTTACATTATGCGCCGCTAAATATGCTAATGGTGGAGCAATAACTCATAATCTTATATCCACCGTCATCTGTGGCTTTGCTAACTAGCCTCAGCATTTATGACAGGCTCTGCTGACAAGTTGGAGCGCAGCAGAGAGCAAGTGGGAGGCTGTGAGCAGTGCACACAAGCATGATTGACAGCAGGATCGACCCTCCTCCTGGCTCTGATTGGTTGTTTCTGACAAAGTGGTGCATTTCTGCAGTTAGTGCTGAGAGCTCTGGCAGAAGAGCCCCATTTTTTTTTTGCAGATTCTCTGCCTTGTACGCCACAGTGATATCGTTAACAAATAGGTAAGATACATATTTTGATCAAATATACATGCCACAGCATTAAGTCCTAGAAAATTAAATTAATTGTGAACCAGTGCTCAATAAATGGAATAAATTGAAACAGTCCCTTTGTTTTATGTTTTTGTCTTTGAAGGAGATGAAGTGGAGTCATCTCTATAGGAGTGACACCTGAACCAATGCAGGAAACATCCAGCTTCATTAAATCTCTCCTCAGGTCCACAAGCAGTGCCAGTCTCTGAGCTACAGAAGAAACTCTCCTGTGTGCAGCTCCTTGCTTTTCAGCATCAGGCTCCACTATTTGCTACTTCTCCGCACCACAGCAGGTTCGACAGACAATAGAAAGACGAGGCTACGCTTCTCTGAATTCCCCCGAGTGAAATAAAGCGTTTTGTGAAAAAGAGATTCATTGGTAATATATCTCTTAAGATTGTCTGTTTAACCTCTAACTGTCAGGATTTTTTTTTCCCAGTTTGTATTCTGTAGGACACCTTGCAGCAGCTTGGAGTTATTAACTGAACAGAAGGTGAACCCTGCCACCTGGTGGACAGATAAAATATTGGCAACTAACAACACAGGTGGGCTGTAAAGTCTTTTTCATTTTCCAACAGCTTATGTGAAATAATCTCAACATTTGTCTGTGTGTTCATGTACCTCCTCGTGCATGAAAACATGAAGTAGACTAAACAAACACAATGTTTTTGATTTGAAGACATTCGAGATCTACCAGGCTACAAACGTTCAAAACTATTTGTAACACAAAGAAACAAACAAAACCAAGAATTTGGAGAGGCCTAGTTAAAGTTATGTCTTAAATCGTATTGATATGCTGTGCTATAAACTTAGACTTTCCACTCAAGTGAGTGGAAAGTTGTGGCTACATTAAAAATCTGGCAAAAAAAAAAACAGGCTAGATTTTCTCCAGTGATGTAAAATGTTTATTAGTATACACACAAAGAAAATATGCATTCTTTCATTTGAATGTATTATATTAATTTATCAATGTACTTGTGAATCGGCGTTTAAAACCTACTGAGAATTGCTGCATTTGACAAGAAACACCACATCAGGAGTTTCAACACCCTTAACATAGATTTACAAAGAAATACCAAGGAAAACCAAAACCACATTACACAAACAATACAATGTGCAGAAATATATAACACTGTTTTTTCTTAAATAAATTGGTAAACAATACCTATAAATATCTGGTGCAATCTGCAATTTCACAGGACGGCTAGCAGCAAGCAACAACGTACACCGGCGGGATAAAGGGCGACTTGTTCAGTGATACATTTCAGCGGTCGGGTTGGGGTGTCAGTAAGCTGGAGAGAAGGTGGGGAACTCTCAAGTTCTCCTGGAGCATTTGCGTCCTGATGCAGGAGAGCAAGACTAGAATGGCCGACCCCAGCGGCTGCTGGGACAGTGAAAGTGGAAGGTTTGTTTATTGCACAAGAACATGAAGCTTAATGCTAGTTTAGACCCCCGGAGATTCTTGCTTCTCGATACTGTGCTTGTTGTTTGTGTTCATGCACAAAAAGGTTCGAAAAAGACCCGGAAGCCTGCCGTCTAATGATGTGTACGATGCCCCTCCCGCACTAATTGGCTCCCCTTCAAAGGATATTGAAAAAGTCTTGAAACAAATTAATCTCTTATTGCAGCAGTTTTACACTGGAAATGTGCCCTTTAATTTTAGTATTTATTCAGTGGAGAACATTTAGAAATTTCCCTCAGCTATTTGTAGATCAGAAACTTCAATTAGTACAACATCCTGTTTGCCTTGTGATGAAAACGTGACATGACAAAGGCCAAATTCTCTTCAAAATGGGAAAGGCAAGAGAGCAGGTTCAAGAAAGGAAGATCTTGAAAAGTTTGTAAATAACAGAGTTTAGGTATTCTCTGCTAAAGCAATAATTTAAAAGGTGAAAACAACAGGAAGAAGACTTGCCATGGCTCACAGAGAGAAATGTGGTAAGGGAGTTGAAAGAAAGCTGTCGCCACCAAAGCTGTTAGCAACCAAAAGTCGTGATCTACATGCCAATCAGTTGCCTTGGAGGCATCCCAGGAAAAGAGCTTCCTACCTTTCCACGTAAAGATGTGGATTTTGCACGGCGCTTTGGGGAATTTATCAAGAGTTGCGTCTTCGGTCCAGATGGGATTGTGATTAATGAATAACTAAATGATAAAGACAAAAACTCCTGGTGGATGAATATTTTGAGCGATGGGTCAGACTATTGGACTACCTGAAATATCAGAAGATTTGAGTTGAACATCTGGTGAGTTTCATCGGCAGAAAACTGAAATTGAGCTGACATTGGGTAGTTGTGCAGAATAATGATGAGGAGAATTTGGCCACAGAAAGGGCTGATGGGAAACAAAATCATCTTTCCCCCCAAGGCCATCCCAGCCCGGAGACGTAAATCCTATAAAATAAAAAACAAAATTGTGGGGTGATGAGCAAATAGAATATGGGATGGAACTCTGACCAATTACCCAAAAAGGGTTCTTCAAACATAGGGGTCACGAGTGGCTGATGGGTTTTTGCTAAAAACACTCCCAATTCCCAATCGATCTCTCAAATTCTTTTGAGTTTGAGAATATTTTTGCTTCAATAAAAGATTAATTTACTTCCTGTCACTTTACCCAGGGTAGCAATAAGTGTGTGTACAGGCGCAGTGTCGTACATCCCGTGTGCTATACAACAAGATTGTAGAGGGTGTTGCTTGTGCACTAGATGTATAATTCATATCATCATATCCTATTTGTTATGCAATTACTAGATCAACTTTAAACAGCTTTATGGAGTCTGAGAGTCTAGACTGTAGTTAGGCAGAGGGGGGTGAAGGCACAGAGGTGTGCTGGAGTTCAAACACACTCTGGTGGCTGTTAAAGGACTCAAGCAGGTTATTGTGGAGAGAGCAGGATGATATTTTAAAGAAAACTCTTCATATAATGTACTGAACACAAAAAAAACAATGGAAAAAATATGGAGTCATTTATACAGAGGAAAATGTTTAAGTCAGCTGATATTATTATTCCTCACACCCTGTTGTGTGTCAACAAAATGAAAATATAAATCAAGAGATTACAGACTCATACAAAAAATGTTGATTGGACATAAACTAAAGGCTAACAAACATGAACAAGGTGCAAATATAGAAATGTGACTGACTTAAAGTCATAATGAGTTTACCAAATATTATAAATACATTTAAAGAATAAACTCCAGCGATGAGCAACGTAGTCAAGTGTAACACTTAATTTTCAATGGGAAATTTGTTTCAGAGTAAAACTTTCAGGGATTTCGATTAATTTATCAATTACAAGGATAAAGTTATTCTTCATTTTATACTGAGAGTAAATATCAGAAACTGTTTACTACATTAGCTGATTAAATGTACATTCTCATTTTTATATCAGACAATGATAACTTAGGTGAATTTAATAAAATAGTTTCCAAATGAAAATTGTATCTATTGAGGGGGAAAAAAAAAAGGTTATCCAAACCAAGCCGGTTTGACGTGAAAATTGAATTGTATTGATTAAATGCTGTGTTTTTCTTTTTTGTTTCAATTTCACAAATCGCACAAAGACCAGAAACGAGATGCGTTGCCTCTACTGTCAAATCACTGGTGTGCTGTAAAATCTCGGATGTGGAAAAATATTCCCCTCTGAAGTCGCTGGTCATTTATTATGCAGAAAGGATGAGAAACAAAGACAGGAAACAAAGAATTAAAAGAGATCAGCAACACTGACAGAGACCTGCAGAACGGTGGGCAGAACGGCGGGCAGCTCCATCGAGCGGTTAGATGTTTCTTCCGCCGTTGATGACGTTGCCTCCGGGCGGGGCGATGTGAATGGAGTCGAGGATTGGTCGAAGGATTTGGCCGAACGGTCTGGAGATGGGACAAAAAAAGAGATTTTATTTGAAATAATAATAATAATAAAAATCATTTTCTGTAACAATGTCACAGAAATTAAACTTTATAATTCATGGTTAATCACACTGGGACCCATTTAAATGTCTTGTGATTAAGTTGAAGTAAATTTTAGGAAATGCAGACTCTCTGTATACTGATTTTAAGTGACGAAAAGTCGAGAAAAATAAACAAATAGAAATTGTTTGGATTCCAATTCGTAACTTGGGTTAGTTGGTTTTATAAATGTTTTAGAATAAACTCTCAATACTCAGATGATCTGAATTATGTTTGTTCGCCTGGTTTGATTGCTGCCTGTTGTTAAACAAGAATACCAATTGCTCCTGTTCTAGAATTTAAAGTGAATTAAAACAAATCTTAGATTTAAACAAGTTGCAGATGAACTAATACTCTCTTGTACTTATTTTACATATTGTAACTTTCCTAAAATAATGGCCCAAGTCATTTTTGCCAAAAGTGACTTTGGCAACAACAAATAAAAAAAAATAAAAAAAATCACCCCTTCATTTTTTCCAAAAGATGTTTTGGGCAAAATTAATAAAACATTTGGCAAAAAATTGCACAAGCTTTTTTTTCAGGAAGGTAACAATATACAATATGTGTAAAATAGTGTGTTACATATAAATAGTTACACAAAATTGGCTTTTTTAACCCTGTAAGAGAAGCTTTGGGTCCTGTCTGTAGCTAGAAGCAGATCACACTGAATCTACGGTAAATCCTGTGTCTCAGCTGTGACTGACCTTGTGACTGGACCAAAACTGTGTCACATGTTTAACTATTGACGGCAGCAAAACTTCCCTCACACCGCCATGTCATTCCAGGAGAACAAATCAGGTCTGTTTATCATAACTCAGAACTGTTTGCTTCAGTTTTACTGAAATCGCCATCGCGCCTGAGACTCGCTTCTTTGGGAGCCGGTCACTCACGTGGAAAGGACCTCTGACGGCAGGTCTGTGATGTACGACGGGATAGTCTTGCCTGTCAGGAACTGGGCCACCTCGTTGGTGAACGTGTTGCAGTTGTGCTCAAACAGACGATACCTGTCGCCTCTGAACAAACAAACAAGAAAAGGTTTGAGATTTATCATCTCGATGCTGAAGTCACGGCTGAGCCAAAAATAGCTTCGACGCAAAGGAGGACAGACGCCCCCAAGACCTGTATGTCGTTTCTCCGAGAGAGGAGAGGTAGTCCATAAAGATCTCCTCTGTCACTTCGGTCTCGCCCAGCTCCACCACCGTGTCTGGAGGCCCCAGCATCGTCCCGCCCTGACATAAAACACACAGAGACAAGTGTTTTAGAACTGAAATACCACGGGAACAACACTCCGCTCATTTATTTTTTATTTCATTTCTTTTTCTCAGGGCAAAACAAAAAACTACTTTGTTGTATGTGTAAATGCATCAATAATTAGCTGCAGCGGCAAAGGTGACACTTACCAAACCCAGAAAAAACATAAACATCTGTAAAGCGTTAATGTCATACGTGAACAGGATTTTTAATTTCTCTCGTTAATTTCCCTTTGCCCCCTATGGGTCTCGTCTTTCTGCGTTCTTTTGAATGTTGCAGTTGAATTTTATGCGTCTACATTTTCTTTTTTTAATAACTAATGTCATTATCAGCTTCAATCATGTTTTCGATGTTATATTTATGAAAGTTGGGTTTTATTGGTGGCATTTAGACTCTGCATGGTAATTTTATTTTTTTATTTTTTAAAAAGCACAAAAAAGTATTCTGATTAATTAGATTTTTTTGTGCAATATTTTTTTAAAAGCTGTCAAAAAGTAGCTTTTCCCCCCCATTAATATAAAAAGCAGAGGATTTGCAAATTTTCTCTGAAGAAAAACACATTAATTGAGTGAAAAAACCAAGAGAAAAAAGTTATTTAAAATGAATCTCATTGTGACGGCAAGAAAAACAAAAACAATACAAGCAAAAAGTCAGGGCATTTGTTTCAAAACAGCCACAGTTATGCTAAGTTACATTTAAAATTTTGATGTTCAAGCTTAAAATGTGCATTTAAACATAAGCCGTTGCATTTCTAAGTCTTAATTACAAAGGGTTGGCCGAAAGTAAGCCATCTTCTATCTTCAATTATTTCTTCAACGAATGACATTTCTCTTAGCTATTCTTTAAAATAAGAAAGACAAGAGAACATGCCATTTTGGTAAGGCAGATGTGTCTGTATCTATAGTGAGAGCAGTAAGTTGAAAGTTCACGATAAGCCAAGTTGTGAACAGAAAGGGCTCGGGGTTTATCTTGCCACAGTGAGCAGGGTGACTAAAAGGGAGGGTAAAAAGTCTCTGAAGCTGCAAATCTATCTTACCGGCGAACAGCTGGAGATGCCCTCCCCTCCAAAGAAGAACTCATCACCATATGCCACTATAGCTGTGTGCCTGCAAGAAATAAGCCAAAGTAAATCCAAGTTACAGGAAACGCTGTAGCAATCTATGCAGACTTTGCAAACCTCTTGAAATTACTGCCCTGCGGGTTGCAGCTATGTTTCAGAGCATACAGTGTTTCTACGGTTCAGGAAGTCAGACTCACCATATCCCATCCAGCTGTTTGCCTGCAACAACAAGGAGATGATGATCAGTGACGGCAGAAGACAGCAGACCCATTCGAACTGGTTCTGAAGAGCCCTGTTAAACCAATGACATCCCTGTTCCCATAATATAATATGCAGCTACGAACAGTCAGGATTTCTAATGAGCTGGGAAAATAATAATTTGACCTGTAAAGTTAAATTATTCACATATTGTACCCTTTCGGCCGTTCCCCGTCCGCTATTTTTTATTATAATTATTTAATACCAACTTACCTAACATGATAGGACTAAGGCTGCGAGCCATTCCTCTTGACAGGTCGTAAATATACAACTGAACATTGTACCGAGGTATATTTTTATCCATTACTTCAGCTCTAAATTATCTGTTTGTCTGTTGTTGTTTTTTATCTCAGTTAGCTGTTCTGCAGACCCTAAAACGGTACAGATGACGAGAGCCGTTAAGAGAATGGTGACGTCATTACGTCTGCAGACTTCCGCTTTTGTTACTGTCAAAATAAAACCAACCATTACAGAAAAAGGGGAGACGATACATCGAGATTGGTTTTTAAAAGAACACGTGGTTTTACGTTGAAGGTCAATGGCACATTTTTCTGTTTGACTTTAACAGTGTTTTTGTGACTTCACGCTATTTTTAGCCTAACGTCACGATTAGGGCTCAAAGATTGTCATATGATAGTAAAGTACAAAAAAAAAATAATAGTAATAAAATAAATAAATAAATATTCTCAGCTGACAGACGAGATAAAATATAAAAATAATTGTATCTAAAATTATTTTATTTTAAATAAAATAACTTTTATCTAAGTTATTTTAATTAAATCACTGCTTAAAAAGGATAGAAAATCTCAATTTAGATAGAAAACTAATATTTTTGTGAAAGAAGCATTCCCATTTTAAAGATTGTTTTGTTTTCTAAAACACTACGCTGTTGTTTCATTTTCACTGGGATGTTAGGTGATAGATCATCACAAAGGGTTGCATGATTTTTTATTTTTTATTTTTTGTTAGTAGAAGAAAAAGGATAATGGACTGTGGAAGGTGAACCCCGCTCCGGTTTTCAATCAACTCTGATCCGTTTCCATGCTGAAGAAAATTTAACAGCATGACGCTGCCACCACTATGTTTTACTTGAGCTGTGAATCTGTGCAGCTCCTCGAGGGATATGGGACTTCTGGTAGTTTTTATTCCATGATGCATGACTTTGTGTTTTTGTGTTTATGATGTAAAGCACTTTGAAATGCCTTGCTGCTGAAATGTGCCATACAAATAAAATTTGATTGATTGATTGATTGATTGATTGATTGATTCTCTAACTAATTCTGTACTTTCCTTACCTGTCTATTTTCACAACTTTCACCAAAAATCATGTACGTCTTTCTTTAAAAAATAAAAGTAAATATAAAAAAACACAGTAGTATTTGGGTAATACTCAACATGAAATAGATAACATAATTCAACTTCAAGTTAACTTAATTTTAATTAAATTTAGCATTATACTAAATTGTGTTGGGAATGGGGATTGGCACGCTTTTCATACTTTTTATTTAATTTTATTTTTTTCATTTTTTATTTTATTTTTGTAAGGAGAATGCGTAATGTTCGCTGTTCACCACTGGGGGGCGCATCCACGTCTTCTCCACAATTTGGAATCCACAACATCCTGAACCGGAAGGGGGCAGTAATGTGCTCGAACGTGTGGTGTTCAGACATTGTCAAAACCAGAAAGAAGAACAGCCACAACCCTCCTTCCTTTCGGACCAAAATAGACAGTTAAGGGTGGAGGAGCTGACATCAACTAGTCAGAAATGGCTGCCACCGGAGTTCTTCCCTTCATTAGGGGGGTAGACCTCAGTGGAAACGACTTTAAAGTAAGGCATTTTGGTTGACTTTGGCTAGTTTTATAGCAGAGTTTCTTTACCCGCTGGTTTAGCTGAAGCTAATTCAAGTGTGAGGATCGGCAACAAATGGCTGAAACACAGGCGTAGCTTAACATTAGGAGCACTGGGCGTTAGCCGGTTGTCAAAATGACAAAGTAGCATTTCTGTCCGCTACTGTTGACCTCTTTATTTTTCCCTGCTAAATTGTTCTTTGAATGAAAAAATAGTGAAGAGCATTCTCTTAAGTCTGTCACTTATTCAGCAATTAAGTATAGTTTGGGTCAAAGTAGGCACTTCCACCATCACGTCACCCTGCTAATTTAGCTTTACTTTTAGCTAACTTTAGCTGTGTTGCTTCAGGGTCGCTTGGAATGCGTCGATACATTTTTGCCTTTTGTACTGTTGTCACAATCTAGGCCAGATATGGACTGGCGCTGCAGTTTACGATAGATAACATCGTGGAGTTTGTTGAACCTGTCGGAGCATGTGGAGGGATTGAAATCGACCAGTGTTGTCATGACTACCGTATGTCCTGACAGCCTCTGTTTGCTCAATGACGGGCCAAAATGTCATAACTTGACCTCATTCTGTGTACTAATTAATTGAGAGAGACGGTATTGATGACAACAACAATTGTAATCAGGTGGTTTTGACATCTGGTGGTGACTGTTTTTTTTTTCCATCACAGCAGAGAGATTTTGACCCACTAATTTAGGCACATTTAAGGGTTTTTAAGCTTGAACGCTGTGTTTCAGGTCAATCAACAGTATTTCATCAAGTATGGACTTTGACTAGGTCACTTTAAGGCTCTCATTCTTTCAAGCCATTGAAGGTGGTGTGTCTGGCATAAGTTGGACAGTAAAAAAAAAAGGTAAAACTTTTGAAAGTACTGCTCCTTGGGAACGGACAACTTTACCACTTTTATGTAAACAGTGTCTCAGCATCCCAGAACCAGAACCGTGAAGTTGGGTCATGTGAACTCAGAGTTATGGAAAATCTCAGAAGTTTGCTGAAGATTTAAACTGAGTTGTACTTGAAAATGTAAATCTATTAATTGTATGTAGTACAGTTCAGATTTCGCTTAGTCATAAAAATAATAAAATCACTATTAAAACAAAAACACAGTTCATTTTCTTGCAAGTGAGCCAGGTTGCGTTATCTGTGTTCTCTTGCTTCTCTGTAACGGACTATAAATACACTCCACAGATTAACAGTGTTTATTTTCGGGTTACATACGCAGTTATTGTTTCAACGATACACAGATTTGACCTCTGTAATATCAAGAAGTCATCACAGATTAAGCCAGGTGTTCAACTTGCTGCTTTCATTCATTCTGTTTGATAAGGATTGAAAAGATTCTATGGCCTTATAGAAACTTATACTCCATATCTCCACTTTGGTTCATCATTTTCTAGTCAGTGCTTGTCTTAATTGTGTTTCTAGTGTTTTTCTCTCTAATTATCCTCCCATCACTCTCTTTGTGTCTGTTCCTGCAGGGAGGATACTTTCCTGAACACGTCAAGTGTATGAGCAGCCTGCGATGGCTGAAGCTGAACAGGACGGGACTTTGTTACCTCCCAGAGGAGCTGGCTTCTCTCCAGAAGCTGGTGAATTATTTCAACTGACTTTGTTTAATCACCCCAAAGCGTTTCTATCTATATTTTTTTTTTACATGCAGTATCACCGTGTTGAAACTATGATCTCTCAGTCTTTCAGTTGATGGCAGAGTAACAGGTTGTGGAAGCAGAAAACATCCTAAACATTCAGGACAGAAGTTGTTGGAAAAGCACTAGATTACCTGCAGCCTCATCTTTGGGAAACAAAGGGCCTGTGGGTTAAGAAGTTAGTTATTTTTGCTAACAGAATTGCTCCAAACACAGCTCTTTTATTTTTTAAGAACTATTTCAACTTGTTTTTATTTTATTGTTCAAAGCTCAGCTGAAACAAGTGGGAGCTCTTTCCTCCTACTTTAAAAGCTTTTTCTCTAGTAGCTTAATGCGGTTATTTTATTCCTAATGTGCACTGTGAGCGTTTCTGGAGGGACGCTGTATTAAACATTTAATGCCTCATGTTTAGTGAAGAGCGTTTGAGTGCTCTACCGATCCAGTTAGACGGACAGGTTCATTTTTCTTTCTGATCAAAGTGTTGACGTCAGTTTCTATGTTGCTCGATAGAAAGTCTTTGAACATACAGCCTCTTCTGGAGGCTTATAAACTCCTCAAATGAAATATTTCTTTAAATGTTTGGTTCTTGACAGTTGCAATGTCCATGTTCTATCATAGTGAATCATGAGAAAGAATTACATTTCATTTGTGTCTGGCTTTTTGAGATAAGTCACTGTAAATATGCCAGAGAAATTTTATTGCATACTGTCAGAAAATACGAAAAGCTTTTTTTTTTTCTGTTTAACAGAAACGATTTCTGAGACGATTTAGTTTTGTCACTTTGATCATTGTTTAGTTGAAATATCACTATATTTTGTGTCCTTCCCTATTTAATCCCTATCGTATAATTGTTTAATTACAGCTCTGCATGTCCAGGTGCAATGAATCAAATATGTGATCATTTAGATTTTTGAAAAAGGTTCTACATTTTTACAAAATGCCAAACATCACTTCCTCTGTTACTCTCAGGACATGTAAACGCAAATAGCAGATGTCCCTGTAAAACTCTAAATACTGTGAAATTTGTAATTGGATGATTTGGAAGGAGCCTGGAGAGAGACCGTATCGGTCGCTGCAGCTTCTGGTCTGTTGATGTAACGTGACAACACCTTATCACCTTAACGTGAAACACGTTTGAGCTACTTTTATTCTAAAATAATAACATTTTTGTCAATGACAAATGGCAAGATTTTTAAGCAGAGCATTAAAAAAAGAGATAAATATGTTTATCTTTGCAAGGGGTTAAATGTGATGGGTTTTTTTCTAATTTCATGTTATATTAGCCTTTTGATTTGACACTTCTGGAAGAAAAGGAGAAAAGTCCATGAATAAAATGAGTTTAGTCATTGTGACAAAGAATTATGATTTTGTCTTTGACCAGGATCATGTTTCTTAATTTTTCCAACCAATTGTTTATATTTTAACCCTTTTTTTAGCTTCCAAAATTTGTAGTTTACACAGACAACCTGTGTTTCTATTCCATTGAGAAAGTGGATCCTACATTTTTGAAAGCAAACAGAGGATCAAATTCAAAAGAATAAAACATTTAGCCTCCCTGTTTTCCTCTTCCTTCAAAAGGACCTTCTTACATCCATGTTGGCTGCCACTAATTTTGTAAACAACAAGCCCGATCCGCGCACATCAGAGACACGTACAGCTTCAGAGGGGAACCTGTGGGCTGAGCCAACATCTTGTTCAGATAAAGAACTATTTATTAATGAACGCAACCTTTTCATTTTACAATCTTCAGGAGCATCTTTCAGTGAGTCACAACAGCCTGACCACCTTACATGGAGAACTTTCTAGCTTACCAAATCTACGGGTAACTAACACACATACACACATATTATTGTAGAAATTAGTCTTGTGCGTCTGCCCTGTTTTCTGTTTGCTCCGGTGTGGAG